AGATAGTTGCATGCAAATAAACTGAAAGTACTTTTCAGAAACTTTTGGGTTAGGCGTGGCTGAGGTGTACGTACACCCCGAAAGCCAATAAACCTGATACACTTCAGTGTCTCTGCTGCGCTGTTGCCCCGTTAGCAGCAGCAGCAGCAGCAGCTGCTGCAGCACCAGCGAAAGCTGCCTTCAGTAGTCTTGACAGGACCGCTCTGCGCTAGCCTGCTGCTTCCGGTGCTGGTGCTGCTGCTGTTGCTGCAGCAGCTGCAGCAGCGCGCAGCAAAAGTGCCTTAGGACACTGCGCAGCAGCTGCTGCCCCTCAACTGAAGCAGCCGGAGCAGCAGCAAGGACAAGCCGGGTGCAAGCAGCAGCAACAGCTGCGCTGAGCACCTGGTGCTGCTGGGGCTGCTGCTGCTGCTGCTGCAGCAGCAGCTGCAGCAGCAGCGGCACCTGCAGCAGCACAGCGCGCACCCACTGCGGAAGCAAAGGCAAGCCGTGGAACAGCAAATAGAGCGCACTGGCGGAGCTGTGGCGCTGCTGCTGCTGCTGCAGCTCCTGCGCTTTGCTGCAGCAGCAGAGAGCGCCAGCTTGCGCATGCAGCCCCTTTCTGTCTACACACTGCTTCATTGCTGCTGCTGCTGCTGCTGACAGCTTCTGCTGCTGCTGGGGGTCGGCGTGGAGCAGCAGCAGTACCTGCTGCGCACTCCCCCGCGTCGAATCCTCGGAGTTCTTCCCAACCGCAGCAGCAGCAGCAGCAGCAGCAGCAGCTGCTGCTGCTGCATGCAAACAGCCTGCATAATAAGCCACAAAGGCAGAGTGCGCCGCCCCTCCCAGCCGCAGGGCTTTGGCGCTGCTGTTGCTGCAGCGCAGCAGCAGCGACTGCGGCACAAGAGGGGTCACAAGGTCTTTGTAAGCAGCACCGCCGCTGCAGCAGCAGCAGTAGCAGCAGGAGCTGCAGCAGCAGCTGTTGCTGCTGCTGCTTTGAGCGCCAGCCTTTGAAGGGAGCGAAAGCGAGAGCAGCAGCAGCAGCCGCAAACGCCGCAGCTGCAGGGGGTTGGCCCCAAAGTTCACTGCTGCTTCTTTGCCTTCTGCTGCTGCTGCTTCTGCTGCTGCTGCTTCTGCGGCAAATGCTGCGAAGTGCTGCAGCAACGGCAACGCATTGAGCTTGTCCTCCACGGCGCACTCCTGCAGCGGGAGCAGGTCTGCTGCTGCTGCTGCAGCTTCTCGAGTGTACAGACAGTGTGCAGCAGCAGCAACCTGCTGCTCTGCTTCCAGCGACGTTGCTGCGAACTCTGCGGGCGCAGCAGCAGCAGCTGCTGCTGCCGGCGGCCTTTGGCCCTGCAGCAGAAGCAGGCTTCCCACACCACTGGCTTGCTGCTGCTGCTGCTGCTGCAGGCGCTGCAGCAGCAACAGCATCAGCGTATCCTCACCGCAGCGGGAACCCCCCGAGCTCTCTTCTGCGTGCGGCAGCAGCTGCTGCAGCGGTGCTGCCCAGGGCTCTACCGCCGCAGGGTTCTTCCACGGTGCAGCAGAAGCAGCAGCAGCAGCAGCAGCGGCAGCAGCAGCAGCGTTTGCTGCAGCAGGCGTGCCGTTCACAAGCGCTAGTTGCTGCAGTAGTCCGTCAACTGTGCAGCCTTCAGCAGCACACGCCAGGTGCAGCAGCTGCAGCAGCATTTGACGAGCCGGCATCTTGCTTCCGAGCTTGTGCTGCAGCTGCAGCGCCAGAGTTTGCCGCTGCTGCTGCTGCTCTTGCTGCTGCTGCTGCTGCAGGCACTGTGCAGGTATTGGCGCCTGGGGCAGCGCAAGTGCCCGCCTCTGCAGCAGCAGCAGCCCCCCTGCAATGAGGCTTTCTATCTGGCAACAGCAGCAGCTGCTGCAGCTGCTGCTGCAGCTGCTGCTGCAGCTGCTGACAGCTAGCGGCCAGTATTTGCTGCTCGCCACCCGCAGCCCTAAAATGTAAGGCGCTTCTGGGAGGATAGCGGGGAGCCACAGACGGCGTACGTACACCTGAGTGCCAGCAGCAGCAGCAGCAGCAGCTGCTGCTGCTGCTGCATTTGCGGCGCTGAGTCTGCTGCTGCTGCTGCTGCTCGGGCGGTCGCGCCGCAGCAGCAGCTCCACCGGCAGCGGCACAGAAACCCCTGCATGCATTTCTGCTGCTCGCAAGTAGCGGGGCTCAGCAGCTAAAACGTACAAGTGCCGCTCGGCCTGCTGCAGCAACTTGCTGCTGCAGGCATCTGTGGGGGCGCCTGCAGCAAGCGGCTGGAGGGGGGTTG